TGTAAATGGTCTAAGTCCCACATAATGGCAGAAATTGTCATACTGGATTAAAAAAAAGTAAAAACAACTATATGATGCCTACTTCAAATGTAAAGACTCACAGGGACCAGCAGTTAGAGTAATGGCTATGTCGCTGGACTCCCACGTAGTGACTGCGGTTCGCGTCCCGGACCCGGTGGCTTAAACTCACGCCAGGCGTATATGCGTGCATGCCCAAGATCCCGAGAGGAGAATGGAGGAGAAGGGATTGTGATGTGGCCATCCCCTCTGGGGGGGTGATTTCTCGCTTTCTGTCTCTCTGTCTATCTCTGTCTGTCTGGCAAGCGCACGCACCCTATAGCAAAAACCTCTCAAAAAAAAAAAGAAAAGAAAAGACTCACACAGGTAAAAAGTAAAAAGAACAGAAACAGATACACCATGCTAACAGGAATCGAACAAAAGCTGAAACAACTATATTAATACCAAGACAATGTAGATTTCAGACATAGTGAATAAAATGGGTCATTTCATAATGATAAGGGGAGTAAATTTATCATGAGGACACAATAATCCTCAAAATTTATATACCAAATAACAGAGTTTCAAATTACATTAAGTCAAAGTTCTGCAAGGAGGATAGAGGTAAACGTAAAATTGTAGCCTAAAATTTCGACACCTCTTTCTCAATAAGAAAGAATAATTAGACATCAAATCAGAAGAACTAAATAGCCCATACCAGGCCACTTAGTCTGACATTTATAGAACATTCCACCCTAAAATAGCAGAATGCAAATCCTTTTCGAGTACAGATGGAACATTTACCAAGATAGACCATGTATATCCTGGGCCATAGAACTAGTCTCAATAAATTTAAAAAGATTTGAGATATACGAAGTATGTACTCTCACCACAGTGTAATTAAGTTAGAAATCACTAACAGAAAGATCTCTGGAAAACTCCCCCAATATTTGGAAACTAAGTAACAGACTTATAAGTAACTTATGACTCCAAGAACAAATCAAAAGAAAAGTGAGAAAGTTTTTTCAATGTTAAAGTAGTGCTTTGGAGAAAATTTATACTGTAGCACTAAATATCTACATTAGAAAAGAAGAAAAGTCTCAAATAACCTCAGTTTCCAACTAGAAGAAAGGCAGTAACTAAAGCTGGTTTTATGAGATGTTTCTTGCCATTTTCTTCACAAACCCTGCTCTATCCACAGACTTCTCTAAGGCAGTAAGGATGACTTCACTTTTCCTGTTGCTTTGACAAACTCTTAGATTAATCCTTGACTCTTCTCATTTCCTGATTCTCATTGGGAAGTCATATTGGCTTCATCTTCAAAATATAGACAGAATCCTATCCTTTCTCATTACCTCCCCTTTTACCACCCTGGCCCAAACCTTTATCACTCATTTGGACTACAGCAATGGCCTCCTAACAGGTTTTCCTTAGTTTACCTCTGACCATCTTTATAGTCTTCTTTGAACAAGTGTAGCCAGAGGATCTTTTATTTTTCATTTACTTTTTGTTTTGTTTTGTTTTGCTTGCCACGGGGCCCATGTGTTCATCAGAGAGATACAGAAAAAAAGAGAGAAATCACCCTCAGGGAGGATGGCCACACCACAATCACTTCTCCTCCATTTTCCTCTAGGGATTTTAGGCATGTGTGATTTTCAAGCCGACAGGTCTTGGCCTTGAATCACAGTTGGCCATGTGGGAGTCCAGCACCTTAACCACTATGCCACCGGGTGACCCCCAAGAGGATCTTCTTAGGTCATATTATGTCAGTCCTCCGATCATAAACCTCCAATGACTCATTTCACTTGGAATAAAAAAAATCTTTAGGACAGCTAGGGTTGATATATTCTGGTCCCTAATAATCCAGTCTTCTGTGCCAGCTCCAGCCACACCGGCTTTTAAGTGCCGTTTCTGAAATATGCCAAACATGTTTCTGTCTTAAGTCCTATTTGCTTTTCTCTTCCATCTACCTGAAAAGCATTGTCTCCAGAAACACATCTTTTCCTTCCAAATCTTTGCTCCAGTGCTAGCTTTTCAGTGAGGTCTTCATTAATATCATCTTTAAAATTGTAAAAATTACCTAATCACCAACACCAGCTCTTTATATTACCCTTTGACACTTTATTTATATAGAACTCATAACCATCTAGGACCTTCCCCTATTTTATGTGCAGCTGGCTCCCTCTAACCCCAGTACAGTGGAAGCTCCAGGAGGATAGTGATCATATTCTGTTTTATTCACTACTATTAATACATCCTGAGGCCACACTTGGGGCATAGGAAACGTTTCATCAATAATTGTAAAATAAATGAACTTAGGTTTCATTTGTACATTTTTGAATAACTGAAAATCTGTTAGCTCTTTCTGAAGATTACTCCAGCATTTCAGTACTCCTGAGTTTACTGTCATTTTTAAAATGAGTATTTCATTGAGTATGTGCTTTTCTAAATCACTTAATTTCTCTAGTGAGAAAAAAAAAAAAAGACTCCTAGGATGGCCCTGGAGCCTAGTGGTTAATGACCAACCACAGTTCAAATGCCAGCAGTGTGAAAAACATGCCAGGTGCATGTGAGTACCCCAAATCCTGACAGGGACTACAGCGTGACATGCCCCCAGTCAGAGGTGAGTTCTCCCATTCTCCCTGTCTATCTCTGGCAGGCACATCTACCTTCTGGCAATTAAGAGAGAAAGAAAGGAAAAAGAAGGAAAGAAAGGAAGGAAGGAGAAAAGGAAGGAAAGAGAGAAAGACTTCTGACGGATGAATTATATTTCCTACTTCTTGATTCAGTTTGTATTGGAGTGTACTTTCTATTGCCACATTTTAATTAGTTTTCCACTCAAGGTACAGCAGTTTGTAAATTAGTATGAATAAAGCGCAAAAACTTCTTCAGTCTAGTATAGCTAAGTACTATAATGAAATACAAGTAAAGGAAATATACAGTCAGTTTCTAAAATTTCATTCTATGTAACACAATTTTTGCCACCGTAACAGCCCAATGTTCATTCGTGTGTAAGGCTCAAAATCATAAGCAATATAAGTGAGATGCTATTTAAAACCAATGAAATTAACCAAGCTTCACCTGGGCATTTGGACAGAAGTTCTGATTCAACACTGTACCACCCTGATAAAGCCCTTCGGAATAAAACATTTGTAATTTTCGTACAGATATGCTAACCGATATATAAGAAAGAAATGTTAGTTCAATATTATGAAATTACTGTACAATCTGTAAAAGTGTGAGTTCTCTTGAAATAGGTTTTCTTAATTTAAAATCCAAATTTAGCTTTATAGAGTTTTCTTTTTTAAATTTGCAAGAGGGCATGTGTGCCTGCCAGAGATACAGAGAGTGGGAAAGAAAATGAGAAAGCACCCCTTGGGGAGATGGCCACAATACAATCTCTTTTCCTCTGTTTCTCCTTTCCAGATTTTGGGTACACACTCAGACACATCTAGCATGTCTCTGAAGCCACTGGGTCCAAGGCTTAAACCTCACAGTTATCCACGTGAGATCCAGCCACTTTTACCACCATGCCACTGGCTGGTCCAGTTTTATAAAAACCCAAATGTCTTAGTATCTTCTCATGTTTCAAAACAACTGATGTCAAGTGGGTAAAAGGAAGTACTTAAAATCAAAATATACTATTATTGATTTTTTGATGAATGTTATACTGGTGGAAAAATGACCCATTCATCAAGGCTTCAAGGCTAATTCTCAATCATTTTATGCAGTAATTTAAAAAAAAGATTAAAAATACATAACAAATAAATATTAATATTTAATGGTTTAACTTTTTGTATATTCCTTTGACTTTGCAAGTGTACATTATAAGATGTACTATAAAACTTTCTTTTTAATTTTAGATTAAAAAATCTTAAATGTATTTTTCAAAAATTTGAAGGAACATTTTTAACATGTTAGTACATTTGTTTTAATAATCAATTTTACTTAGCTAAGACTACATTTTCTGCTAGTGACAAAAGTCATCCAAATTGCCAGTACATTTAATACATTCTTTACATCAAAGACCACACAAATGCAGTAACTAAAAAAATTAGAACACATGAAAGGCATTAATTATAATGTGGAATATCTGTAGTTTAATTCAATATAAATAAGTCTGCTTCACAAAGCATCTTGCTTCATAAGAATAGAATTTTGTTTTTAGACATGTTCTTGCTGTGTTGCTACCCTCGTGCCTCAGCCTCCTGAGTTGCTGGAATTTTAGGCACCTGTCACCATGTCTGGTCTTTAGGTTTGACTGGAAATCAAACCTGAGTCTCCCATGTGAACCGAGTCTGTGGAGCAGGAGCAGTGCAGGCCACTGAGGCTGAGCCACAAACAGTAATATTTTTATTCTTCAATCATGTTCCTTCTTTTCACTAGAGATTCTTTATACTACTCTATGTAATATAACACAGTCATGTCCCTGTTCGATGACAGACTCCTATTTTTAAACACAGGAATTTTAAGTACATACTAAATGCATGATGTGCTTAATCAGGGAGTGTTGGACTTAGAAGATATAACATACGGAAAAGTTTGAATTAAATAGACAATATAGTTGCAGTGCATAAAACAGAGTAAGAGCAGGGATGGAAGGAAGTGGGTTTAAACTTTTATATTCTATTTGTGTCATCACAATCCCCTGAAAACTTCTGAACTAGACTAAAACAATTTCTGTCCCCTTTCTAGGTACATTCTTTGATACCTACATTGCATATTCAAAAGCAGTGCAGGTGGACTGTTATGGAAACTATATAAATGGGAGTGGGAGAAGCTGAGTCTATCAGTTTTTCCAGGCTTACTTTTAGAAATAGGAACAATAATGAAAGAAAAATCTTATTTTTAACATGTATTTTTAGTATGAGAAGGTACCCAAGTAGCAGAGACTTCTAGCATACTTGTATTGTGAATTCTTATGTCTCAAGAAATGTTAATTTACACCAGAGTAAATATTTTTGAACATATTTAATAAATGCACAAAAATCAAATAAGGATATCATATCCAAATCTCAGCTTATCTTCAAGTTTCAAGGTGATATAAGTCTGCTCTGGAATCCTTACATCGTTCACAAAAGTCTACAAGAAAAAAAAAAAACACATTAGGTTATACATGAAGTATTAACTCTTTAGAAGCAAATTCTCAAACCTGATGCTTAAAAGTACATTTCATAAAGGGGCTAAAGTTTGTGTATGGTAAGATGTGTCTGATAAATGACTTCATACTAAGTCCTGTAACAGTCATTGGTAATATACAGAGAATGGTGCTGCGAGGACGAATTCAGACACTTAAAATAGTTCCTAAAAATGGAGCCAAGAAGGGCTCTAATCTGAAGCTAGCAAATCGTGAAGGGTAAAACACACCATTAGGAGTAATTGAACCAAATTTTAACTTATCTTGGAAAATTCTAAATAACTATTTGAGGACTGATACTTCTTTACTTTTATCCTTAGACTTGTTCAAAAAACAAAATAAAATTTTAGCCTATGACTTGGTGGTTAAGGCAGCTGGATCAGAAATGGCTGACTACATGGTTTGAATTCTGGACAAGGCAGCTTGAGAAACATGGTGTGCATGTGTGCCTAAATGCCAAAATGCTAAAAGAAGGGAGAAATGGAGAAGAGATTATGGGTTATGGTGTGACCATTCCTCAAGGGTGTACTTTCTCACTTTTCCTCTCTCTGTCTCTCTCTGGTGAGCAAAATTAAAGAAAAAAAAAAGACTAAAGGTCTTATATAGGTACTTTGGATCATTTTATGAAACTAATATACATTATAAGATGTTAGTGATCGTATTTTTTTCCATATGCTGACATTCTGCTATTTTATCATCCTGGTAATTATTTTAACTTTACTCATCAATTATTTCTAACAATGCTGAAAATAACCAAAGCAATAAAAAGACAGAAAAAAAAAAAAAAAACCCCAACAGAATTATTTAGAACAGTATTATCCAATAGACATCTAAATACTATAAGACACAAACTAAGCCACATATAAATATTAAATTTTCTAATGGACACATAGAAAAGGTAACAAAAAAGAGGTCAAATTAATTTTAATAATATAATTTTCATTTAACCCAATATACCCAAAATAGCACTATCTCAACAAATATTAAAATTAATAAGATGTTTTACATTTTTGGGCAGAATACTGGCTGAGTCTTTGGTATTCAGACTAATCACATTGCAAGTACTCATTGGCTAGTGACTATTATACAGGTGTATATGAAACAAAGGTCTAGTTGTTACTGTAGTAAAAAGTACAGGGACCAGCAGATGGTGTAATGGTTACAATGATGGACTGCCATGTAGTCAAGTGCAGTTTGAGTCCCAGACCTGGCAGCTTAAAACTCAAGCTGGGTAGAAATCCGGATCGAGCCGGCCAGCAGTTCCGGACACCAGGCGGACTGAGGC